GGCTTTTCTGTCAGACCGCTCTATCTAACAGCTTTCTGGCAGATATCTTAACACAAGTTACAATTTCCCCCCCTAACCTCAAACGGGAAATCCCTTCTGGCAGAAAGCCCAGAAGGCAAACGTCTCCCAACAGCTACCAGAGCCAAGCAACTGGCATACCCAGCAGTCAAATGAAATGCAGCCGTTATTAATAATGCTTATTACACTTGGTAAGTTACACCTCTACTTGTTCTGTCATGCTGAAATGTCTGCCTTGATAGAGACCTAGGGAAGTATGTAGTATTAAAATAGCAAAACATGACAAAAATGAGTAAAGGAATGCAAAGAAAATTCACATTTTCAGATAACTAATGTTAGATAGCTGAATGGAGAGGGCACTTAATGGTGGTGTGTTCAGAAAAGTAGCTAAGTGATAGCATTAGCCTCAGCAAGAAAGACTAAAAGGTTGAAAGGGAACACCACCCAAATTAATTTGAATTTGAGTTTTAACACTCTAGTTTTTGGATTTGGGAGAGAGTTGTTCATGTTTACTGGTATTTTTGGACTGTCTTAGACCATAGCAATAACATGTATGGATTTTGAATTGGCGTAATAGTTCCCCTTTAAGTTTTAGCTAGCCTAAGCTTACGTTATTTTAGCCAGCACTACCAATAACTCATGTCTAATACAAATTTTGTTTTTATAATACAACCGAAAATGAAATTGGCTCACCATTCTCTCCACGAAAAAGCTAGCTTAGCTTAGTTTAGCTTAGCTTAGTAGGTTAGCTAGCTAATGCTCGAGCTCTAGCTGTTGGCTAATTATGCACAGGTGTGTGTAATTAGGTAGGTCTGCTGTATATTGGCACTAGTGCACCAATCAGACGTGAGAGCAGGAAACATGCCTGATGTCACCGGATGTGAACATTTAAGTCACCTATTCAAATTAGCTTCAAAAGACAAAAGAATCTTAAAACACACAGTAAGACTTATATGAATTTATGTCAACTTACACCTTCAGCATCATTATTACACAGCTCAACGTTTCTTTCTTAATAGTTTGGGTTTGCTGACATCTGCTGGTGAATGTAAAAATAACACCACATAGCACTACAAAAGGTTACAGGAATTGGCCTGAGACAAGATATATAGGCTATTTATTATTTGATGCGTGTTTAGGCTTTGAAAAAACATATCAGCATACGTTTGATTGAAAAACAGGTAATAGCTACTTACTGAATGAAGCTCCATGACCGTCTTGCTTATATATCCGACCATCTCAGCCCTGGAGCTCCTCTCCAGAACCTCTATTTACTACCTATAGGTGGACTGGTGGTTTATTCCCAATTTAAGCCTCTTCTCAGCAGCAGCTCACCATGCATACTGCACATACAGCCTTCTGATTGGTCAGTTATCTCATATTGGAACTCTGCTCACTATCACTCTGCATCTGTGCTCCTGACTACTGTATTGTGTGGGTGAGGTGGTTGTGTCTGCTTCTGCTGGCATGCTGCTGTGTCATTGTTAGCATTTCCACTGCTAACAATGCTCTCCCAGTGCTATTGTTTGCATTTCCACAGGCCAATAGACTGCAGGCACTGATGAACATTGGGAACATTGTTTCAGTGAATTCTGTGGACTGTGGTATTTTATTTACAGGGAGATCTGGTGGGAATATATCAATGTGCACATTTTCTTCTCCTCAAAGCCATTATTGCTTCTCATCCACTTGTGTTCAAGATCTAAAATAAAGGCTATTTTGGCACCACTGATATTTCCTTGTTGGTCAACTTTGATGTCAACCTTAATATGTTAAATTTAAAGTCAAACCAACAGATTTTAAAAATAAGACACATATACAGTACATATTTCATATACAGTATATGTCAGTAGCCCCTTTTCAAGCTGATACATGTCCCACAGTACCCCCAAAGCTGCTCTGCATCAAGCGGGAAATCAGATTGATGAATTATTGATGGAATACAAATCTTGTTTACTCCAGGCTGAGTTGTCAGATGTAGCCCAGGAGGCTCATGTGACACATTATAACACTATTTGCCTTGCTAGTTCAAATCATGCTGCTTTCTCCACTCAGGTTGGTTTGTGAACTGTGGGTGAGATGGAGGTAGAGTCAAAACGTGGCATTTGTGGATGTGAGAGCTGTGGCTATTTCACATGGTGAACCAGAGTGCAGGTGAGAGACCAACAACACCAATACATTTTCACCCTAGCAATAAAAGACAGGTGAACTGAAAGGCCAGGACCAATGCATTACTGTATATATAAGCAGCCACTGGGCCAGTGAAAGATGGCATCCACCTGTTGACGCTTAGATATGGAACATAATGTATGCTGTGCAGTATGTTGTATGGCATGAGACAGATCTTTTTGCCAAGACTTATGGAGACATTGGCTACACTGCAAACTTTAAACAAAAAATGCCTCTTTAAAACTGGAGCAATGCCAGCACAGAGGCTTGGAGAAGATAAGAGATATGGACAAAATGTTCTGGACCTTGGCAAGGAATCTAAGTCTGTGTGCATACTCCAGTGGTCTGTATGCACAGAGAGGACTGTTTAAAGAAATACTTCACCCACAGAATGATCATTTGTATATCGGATTCTCACCCTGAGTTGCCTTGAATTTGTAAAGAAAACTTTTTTCCTCTGTGTTTGGATTCTGGAGGCATGCGAAGAAAACAAAACTTTTTTCATGAAGTCAAGGTAACATGGGGTGATGATCATTTTGTAGGTATTCCTTAAAGAAAGTATTCCTTAAAGAAAAGCCAGTGAGACATTCATGAAATCCTTGACTGTTCAACTTGGACCTTGATAATTGATGTTACTAAACCCTTTGAGTGTACAGTACCGTGGGACACCTTGGTAGCAAAGTGGTTAAGGTGCGTGCCATGTTCTCCCAGTGTCCCCAGTTTAGTTTTGGTTGTGGTCCTTTGTTGCAGGTCATACCCCTGTCTCTCCCCTTGTTTTCCGTCTTCCTCTACATTGTAGTGTCCAATAAGGCAGTGGTTCCTAACCTTTTCTTGAAGACGTAGACACCCCTATACGATGAACTCATGACATTCGTCAAATGAAGCTGTAGCGAAAGTTCAGTCAGATAGACAATACCTTTCATGCTTAGGCTATAAGTTTTCTTCCTCACCCTACAACTCCTCGCATGCATGCTCACTCACCATCTCTGGGTGTCACTGTTTGGGTTTGTCAATTGAATCATCAGCCGTTTCAGCTGATTCACAATCAGCCAATAGCACAGCGGCACACCTTTCTCTGTCAGCCTATCATCTTATTGCTACTCATTTTAAATCTGTCGTAGTTCTTTCTTGCTGCAGTCGTGCGCACCCTCCAACTCCCAACACCACCTAGTCTTTACAGATTCATCAGCCTCATGTGCCTCAGCAGTCAGCAGCCTCAGAGTCAGCAGCCACCACATGGACTCCATGGGGGGATTTATCTTGCTGCCGCTTAGATGTCTCTCAATCACAAAATATCTCCCTCTGGTGTCTATACGCCAAAGACTTCTGTCAAATCTTAATCAGCACAAACGTTAAGCTATTTCAGTCATTACTTTTAGCTGACTAGTTTCAACTGCATATTCATGACTTTTACATTAACGCTTTCAGTCATTTAGCTGTTACTTTTAGTTAGCAAAATGTTTAATCTGTATCTTCATCATACTTTTAGCTTCTTTTTAACCATTTATCCGAGTTTTTAGCCAATTGTTCAGACTTCTCAGCTCGCTTGCTAACCACTTTTCCTGCAATCAACACATTGCATTCAAGTTACAGCTGACTCAATATATGGATTTTTTTTTTTAAATGTTCAAATCAAATTGTTATTTAGATGTTTCAAATTAGCTGAACAACAGTGCAATATTTCCATTGCCCAATTTGTAATCGCAGAGGTACCGCCTAGGGTACAAATACCCTTTGTTGGAAATCACTGCAATAAAGGCAAAAAATGCCAAAATGGTAACATTAAAACCTGAAAATAAAGAGCACTAAAGGTCCAGGAATCTTTCAAAAATACATAAAAAGTGCTTTACAAGGTGTTGATCTTTCAATGTAATGGCTAAAAAAAATAAGTGACAGTGACAGTATGTAAATTTGTGCAAAATGTGTCTACGCATAAAGTCAGGCACTTGGGACGATAAATTATATTCCTGTCTGCCTATTACTAATCCAAGTACAAGTACAAGTAGAAACAACTTTGTGGCCAGGAAACAATCATGCAGATACCATTAGCACCTCTATCATGGAATGATACAGTGCAGTATGCAGAAAGTATTCAGACAATTCATGGGTTGTTCCTGCAGCCTGATAGTTAACCGCAACATCCATGCTTTGATTGGCTGCTGGGGACCTTACCTGCATGTCATACCCTTGTCACAAAAACACCACTGAGCTCCATGTGACACGCATGATTCTATGTACTGTCTATCTTTTGTTCGTCCCCTATCTTCATAGCCAGAGCACTACTAAACCATCAGCGTGCTGTTTCAACATGAGGTATGCACTGGAATGAGAGAGACAGTGAGAGAATGAAAGATCAATATGTAACAGGGCCTTGTAGCCTTCTTTGATTGCTCCATTGTGAAGCAGATTATCTTGGCTAAATGACAAATTGAATTGGCGGCATCTGAATCTCAATTAATGAGCCGGTCACACAAAGGTATTTCAACAAATAAAGAATTTAAAATTGTTGTCTGCTTTAATTGTTTTGCACTGCTCCATCAGTGATTAACAACAAAAGGATCATTGGAGGATAGTTTGCAAATCTGTGGTGTTTTGAACTCCATTTCATTTTTGAAAATGAACCTGCTTTTCATCAGCAAGTCACTGCAATGATTCATCTTTGGCAGCTGCACAGCACGAAGGTGCACCCATGGTGTAGTTTGGGTTTGCTGACACCTGCTGGTGGAGAGATGAGTATATCAGTCTCAGAGTGAATATGACGATGGGCTCTGCCGTAGCAATGTGTAATGAGCACACAAATCATTTTACAGGCCTCTGGCAACACATTTTTTCTTTATTCAGAGTAAGATGTGTCAACATCCAGCATGACAAAAATTGTACAAAGTTCACAATTTATAAATGAAATATCACAGCAACTTGTGATCTCACACATTTATAGCAAAATTAAAATGTCAACAAATCCATGCTGTGTAGTACAAAAATAAATCAAACTTCAGTTCCACAGAGAGCACAATAGTTTATACAAAATCCTGTCTTTGTTAATGGTCACTGAAAACAATCTCAAAATGAACTGGCTCAAATAAAATAATAAACTCTGATGAATTCACAATAATTTATATGAAAAGTCAGCTTTCTAAATATGTGACGACCTTTTTGTGTTCCCTATAGATAGTCACAGATAACTCTATTCAGATTTGTTATTTATGTACCAACATCAGATGAGCAGCCGGTTTGTGCTTTAAAATCCCTTTTCCCTTTTTACTGATAATGAGAATTAATTCAAAAACTGGTACTAGCTATTACTCTACTGAAGCATTACTATATTGGCAAAAAGCTGCAGACACGATGCTGTGGAAAAAGGCGTATGCAGTCATGGATGATGGGTAGTAGAGTCCTGAAAGAGGACAGTAAAGTACAATAGATGAGATTCAATCAGGTGAAGGACAAGCACCTTTTGCATTAGCTCTCGAAAAGGCAATTCTGAACATGATCGCTAACAACTAGAACAACAGAATGGAGGGGTGCATACAGTCAGGCATACGGGCACGACGCTGGATTGTATCACCCCTCGAAGGTCTCGTTTCACCATTTCTTCAGCTTTTTTTAAAACCTTGAATTGATTGACTATTTAATCCTTTGTACAGTGATTAGATATAAAGTGCTGCTGGGGGATAACTTCATCTTCCTAAAACATAGCAAAAAAAATGAAAGAACAATGTTTTTACACTTGATAATAGCCTACAGTATAACTGCTATGGTTATAATCATCCTCTTCTCTGATTTCAAGTCCCTGTTCTTCCACTCTCAGTGGTACTAAATCCACGCCTACAGTGGCTCCAAGCAGTTGGTTGCTCCAATCGTGTGCCAAAGAGGTCATCTGGAAAATTGCACGCCGCCGTACGTAAGGATAATATCTTCAAGGACAAGTGCAAATAGTCTACTGGCACATAAGTGGGGACAGTGACCCTGTAAGTCCTGCTGTCATACTCTATAAATACTCTTTACAAAACCCTCTGAAACCCTCCTTTTAGGCTCTCGGGTACTGCTTTTAGTTTCTGTAAGAACATCAAAACATGGAAACGAAGGTGTCCCTGTGCAAAATTGTACAGAAAAAAAGTGGAACTCATATACTTTCACTTCTAAAACTCAATGTCCAGGTTCCCTCCTCTTTTTTAAAAAGACTTTTTGTATTAAAAGATTTGTATAAAAATCAATATTTTACATAGGTTATATTAAAAAGATTCATGTCACCCCGCTATGCTTATAAACAAGAAATTGCATATACCCAACCTTTTTTTTTTTTCCTTTGCAGATTGCATCCCGTACCGACTATAAACAAATGATTTAGTTATTATATTGCTGAGACATTTCTTGACCCTAGCAACACAAGTCTTGGAATTGCGCAGATTTGATACTAGAAAGGCTAGAATGTGGTCTCTATAGGTCATTGTCTTTACACATTGTTTCTATTTGAGATTAGTTAAGGATGAGCATGTGAACATGCATGCACCGCACAGATGTGTTCCTCTAGGAATTAATTGGCTCTCCTAGATAATGGGATTTCCACCATCGGGTTTCCGTGTAATGATGTTTACAATATAACTATTCATACATACATTCATACATACATCAGGTCAGTTTCCTCTCCGGATTCATTTACAGCACCAATTAAAAATGCCCCCACCTACAGCTACACATCTTTTTTTTCCATCAAAACAAAACACAAACGTTTCTCAAGCATTGTCAGAAAATAAAGCGATCCGCAAACCAGTTCTTGCTCTTGAACAATCTACACGCAAGAAGAAGAAGAAGAAGAAGAGAAGAAGAAAAAACATCTAAAATCATTGAGTCCAAAATCATCCAGTGAGGAGAAAAATATGTAGCTTCCTCCTTGCTTGTAGTTTTTTTCATTTTTATTTCACTGTCCAGTTTTTTTTCATCTAAAATGCTTTTTTGTCAAGCAATAAAAAGAACTCACGTTCCATTATCATTAGCTTACTGTTCAGAAATATACACTAAAAATGTGCATACATGAGCAGCTAGAAACATTACATGACACTATGTCAGCTCATATGAAAACGTACAAAATGTGAATGTCCTCAAAAACTATTTTGCCATTTACTCTTTTATGTTTTTCCTCAAAGCAAGGCCCGAAAAGAAAAGAAAGAAACGAAGAAAGAAATTATCTCGAGGTCTTTCTACGCATCACACCTCTTTTTTTGAGAGAACAGAATTGAGAATATATAACACTATATAAGTTACTGCACCGAACCATCACTGCCTGTTTGTATGTGGATTTGATACATCAGCCACACCTGCTGGGGGAACAAAAATCTCCCTTTGCTCAATGGTTACACTTGAATCCCTTGAACTGCTTGCTTGATGTTTTCCAACAGGGCTTTGTTTTCTGGGCTCTGGTACTGGTCTTGGTTTGTGTACATGTCTGTCAGAGTGGTGACGTAGGCGTCAAAGTTCTGCTCGCTTATTGGCTCCTGCAGGACCAGAGACACAACATGATGGCCATTAGAGGAAAACAGAGGTGACAGAGGATTTAAGATGTCTCTAATCTTCCTATAGAATGTGTTATGATCTAAATGTCAACATTATTTTTTCTGTAATGTTAAGTTTCACAATTTGTTTTTCGGTTTCTTTTAAGGGACAGTTCACCCTAAAATAAATAATACATATAGTTCTACTAGTGTGAGTTGCTGAGCGTTGGAGATATTGGCTGTACAGATGTCTGCCTTTTCTCCAAACTAATGGAACTAGATGGCATTTGGCTTATGGAAAAAGCGCCAAAAAGTACATTTGAAAAACTCAACAGCAATGTCTCTTTCCAGAAATCCACAGACCTTGTGCATCACACAAGCATACAAACAAGGTAAACGTCTCTACAGCAGATATCTCCAACACTCAGCAACTCACACCAAAACAATCTAGACTGATAAATAGAACTACAGGTAAGAGGAGAAATATGTATTTCATATTTGAGGGTGAAACTTCAAGTATGAACCTGAAAATGAGCAAAATAAGTCCCTTTAAAATGAAGTCATCGACTCACTTGCTGGTGCATCTGTAAGCAGCTGTTATTCCTTAGAGGAGGCTCTTTGTGTGCCAGTGGTTTCTATGGAAGCAAAGGAGGGACACATTTCTTTTAGCTCGCTTTGAGAAGCAAAGTTGTTGTTCTTACATTTGAACACTAGGTGGCAGTATTTGATATACAGCCAGACAGAAGAAATTAACTGGAAAACAGAAGCTGGACATACAGTAGATGAAGACATACAGTATAAGGCAAGACAAACAGAGCCAGGCCAGCCCATGTAATGGTGTCAGAATGGCACAATGGTTACAAGGAGGAAAAATTCTAAGCATCAGGGACTTTTTTATCAGAACAACGGCTGGAATATAAAAGGATGTGATTAAAAAAATAGCTTGCCATTTAGACAGGATTCTTAACTGTAATTCATTCGTTTGTCAATGAATGTTAACTTATCCATCATGCAAGAGGATAACATGAATGAATGGCATAGTGAAGGATGAAAAACAGGATAACAGCGTGTGTTACTATGAAACTCAAAATGTAATAATTTTTACTTTTTCTTCAAGAGCCCAAAATTTTTGCAACACACTTTACGAAAAAGCCTTCTATCATATTAGCACAAAAAACCCTCACTGAAGAGCCTACACCATTGTTTAACCTACACCATCGTTGCTGTAGTTGGAGTTGCTACCACTTTCAAAAAATGCCCAATCAAACCTCATTTCCCAACTCCCCCTCACTATTTGGAAAGACAAGCAATGCTCCACATTTTAGACTAAGCATGCACAATAGGCTGTGGTTAAATACACAAATAAATGAGTAAGCTGCTATAATGCTACGGTTAGCTATGTTCTGCAACTTGCCGGCTTGCCGTTCCTGGTGGCCCTTACCATATGAGGGAGCTGGACATTAGCTAAACTGTTAATCAGTGACTGGCTGAGGTTGGCCAGCTCATGCAGGAGAGATTCATTTTGCTGTTCAATCACCTTGTTTTCCTCCTCTATGGACTTCAGGTTGGACTCCATTGTTGTGATCTGAGGAGAGGACGGGCGGATGACAGGATGTTAAGAACACAGTTTTGTATTCACATGGCGAGTGCGCACCGCTGCTGACTCAGATATACAGAAACACAGGAGCAGACAGGACGTGACTTACCTGTGTTCTGAGTTTGATCATGTCTGCTTCCACTTGTGAATTTGATTCACTTATATCTTTGATTTCTTCATCCAGCTGTTTGATCTCCTCTTCGTGCTCCAGTCCTACAGAGGAAGAGCGGCATTAACACTGACACATTACTGCAAGGCCTCAGTCATAAATTAGATTAACGGCCTTTATGTTGGACTGAAGTAATTAAAAATGACACAATATGACTGTGTGGCTATGTCAGAATTCTGCTGGACACTATGTGTGACTGTCTTCACCTCTACAATACGACTGGGGCAGGTCATTTTAGCTGATTAAGACTCAACAATCCCTCAGACAAATTACATTATGATCCTGTCACATCCCTTTATGAAGTGTTGAAATACACTGCATTCAAGGGTGAAGTGTTAGCAAAACAGATGGAGCACACAACCACAAGCTAGTCCAGATATTCCATGTCTGATAACTGCTGAGTCCAGCCCTGTTCTTCTAGATTGGAGCCACTCTTCTCATTATTTACACCCTACCCCTGAATGGCAGTTCATCTCCAATGTAAGCCTTTGTTCAGACAATGCTCTCCACACACGCCCTCCTGATTGGTTTATTATCTGAAATTGGAACTTTGCTCAGCAAATCATTCCATGTCCACATTCCTGATTGGCTGTATTGTGTGGGTGAGTGGTAGCTTTAGTTACCGTTGCTGGCACGTTGCTGCTTTATTGTTAGCATTTCCACCCCGGAGAGCCTGGCTTTCCTCATGGCGGAGGTGGCACGTGGACAACCCGACAAACTGAAGGCAGCAACAAGGAGAGGAAGCATTGTTTCAGTATATTCCACACACATGAGACAACTGCTGGATTTTATATATAGGAAGGCTGGGAAAAAACATTCCACTAAAGAAATACTTCACCCGCAAAAGTTACTCATTGCATGTCACCTCGAATTAATGAGAAAACTGTTTTCTTGCATGCTTCCTTGGTGAACAGAGAATCCAAAAAGGTGAACATTTGTCATGAATTGAATCAGGGTCCACATTAACAACAGAAAAAACATTTCAAAAAATCTGTTGTCAAACTCTCACTCAACTTGTGTAGTATAATCCAAGTTTCATTTATCTTTCCAAACATGCACTGGCTTGCCTTTTTTGGGATGCTCTGTAGTTTTTCTCATGAATTATGGGTAACGTGGTGAGTGACTGATATGCAAGTGTCATTTTGTGAGTGACATATTTCATTAATGTCAGTCTCACAGAAAAGTCAAACGTGCTTTATTGTTGAGAGTTTGATGGAAAGACTAATAGCACACAAGTTCCCTATACCCACCTCCGATGTGTCAGGAAGCTGCCGCTAACGTGACCCGAGCCGTCGCAGCCTGGCGTGGGGCAGGACATGCCCTCTGTTTTTCCAGACTTCCACGTGAACTGGATGCCATTTAAGTAGCCGTCCTTTTGTCTCTTGGCTGCTATGGGGCATCCCGATGCACTTCTGTGGGATGCGTACTTCCCTGTCACGTGTCCCTGGCCATCACAACCTGGGACTGGACACCTGGAGGGACAGAGTGCAATGTTCTTAGAGAAGACTCTCTCAACAGTTTAATTCACTTTCATCATTTATTTATTCAACCACAACCTTCATTTGCTCAAATATACAAAGTTGATACCATTGTCTTTAATCTATATTGAAGACATTAGGGCTGGCATGATATGCTTAGCTCCCAATTTGATACTTTGATTGATATGTTTGATATGTATTGCGAATTTCCAAGTACTGTGATTTAATATTATCACTTATTGTGATTTCTGTTCAAACTCTGAACACTTTACCAAGGGTAAAAAGTTGAATCATACACTTACAGATACTTATATCATGTGGCATATTTCCAAAAAACATTTTCAGTTAATCAATAATTATTAATCAGTTGATTAATAATTCAGGTCATTGGAATTACCTGAGTTTAGGGCAAACCTTGACTGACTGATCCCTAACTGCCCTGACTCTCCACCAGATCAGCAAACTTTCTGTTGCTGCTGTTACCCAGGTAAGACCCACTCAACATTGGGGTTTGTGCTGGCTTAATTTGAGTTGTTACAGCAGATAACTGAGGGTTCGTGTCCTTGAACCACCCACTATTTTCTTTTTTCTTGCTTTGGCTTTGTTTGTCTTTAAACAGATATGACATCAAGTTACCTGTAGATTTAAACAATAAAATTGGTAACTTTTTCCACCTTGGCATAAAATAAAATTTAAAATTTTTGAATTGTTGAATTTGCAAGGGCGTAGTTTTCGTTTCAGCATTGGGGAAGACATTTTAAGCATATGTAGTTGCACATGTTCTAAATACTGAGGGGGAAATCCACCTATGTAAATTTTAATTACATTGATTCAGGCATTAAAAACTTAATGAAAAAAAAAAGAGAGAGACTTATGTGAATACATTTTTTTTACCAACCCCTTTTCCCCATCAAAGAGTGACCTACTGAGTCTGTACTAGCTCCCTGGTATACCCTTCAGTCTGCTTGCCTCCTGAGTACTAAAACACCATAGACTGTATGTGTGGATATCATTTTTCTGGTTCCCTCTATCTCTATTGCTTTGATATAAACAAAGATACCATCATCTTATTTAAAGCTGTCCCAGTGGCAGTCTTATCGCAGTCTTGGAATGCTGACAGTGCATCAACACCATGCTAATCAGATGCAATGAGGCAGTAAATTATTCCAAATGTCACAGCTCGCAAAATGGATTATAGCTAAAGCTAGCTACAGTTGTGAAAGCATCAGTTCTGTCTGCAAATAGCAGCTACCTGGTGTTATATCAGCTTTGTGGCTTTTTGACTGCAAATAAATAAACAAATAAAAAACAGGGGGCATCACATGCACTGCTGTGAAACACAGTGTGTTTTTCTTGCATTTGAGATCTTTCCTCTCGTGAATATAGATCAGAAGTCACAGGAATTAGCTTCACTAACCCATCCACTCAGGCTCCCAAAACTTAACCAAGAGTGGTCAGGACTGTTAAATTCCAGCAAACAATTCCATCCTGCACCTCCAGCCCAAATCTTCCTTTCTCATTTTCATTATCTACAGTCTTAATGGAGTATGACAGTCTCTACATAATATTTAGTTTTATGTAAATTATCCCTATTCCCTCTTGACATACATACAGTCAGGTCCATAATTATTTGGACAATGATACAGTTGTCATCATTTTGGCTCTGTACACCACCACAATGGGTTTTAAATGAAACAATGAATACCTGCTAAAAGTGCAGACTCTCAGCTTTCATTTAAGGCTTTTTTCAAAAATGTAGTATGAACCGTGTAGGAATGACAAGCATTTCTTCACACAGTCCCCCAACTTTAAGGGCTCATAAGTATTTGGACAAACTAACATAATCATCAATTAAACAGTCAGTTTTAATACTTGGTTGCAAATCCTTTACAGTCAATGACTGCCTGAAGTGTTGGACACATAGGCATCATCAGATGCTGGGTTTCTTCCCTGGTGATGCTCTGCCAGCCCTTTACTGCAGCCGTCTGCACTTCCTGCTTGTGTTTTGGGTGTTTTGCCCTCAGTTTTGGCTTCAGCAAGAGAAACGCATGCTCAATTGGATTCAGGTCAGATGATATGACTTGGCCATTGCAGAACATTCCACTTCTTTGCCTTAAAAATGTCTTTGGTTGCTTTTGCAATATGCTTCAGGTCAATGTCCATCAGCACTGTGAAGCATCGTCCAATGAGTTTTGAAGCATTTGGTTGAATCTGAGCAGATAATGCAGCTCCAAACACTTTGAAACCCCACACATTCACTGAACAAGAGCATAACTTGCGTGCAGCAGCACGCCGCAGTACGCTTAGGTGGTCACATGATCTCTCACGGGCACCTTCCTGGCAGGTCAGCCTGCTGCTAAACAAACATTAGCGAGACAACATAGCAACACTGCCCACGGATGCTCCAGCAGCTTCGGAAGACGTGGGTCAACTGTAGTGATAGGTCCCAGCCTGTCAAGCTAAAGTTCGCAGTACCGGAAGACCGTCTACGGAGCTACCTAGCCTAGCCACAGTTAGCTGAACGAAGCGGCAACATGGCACAGTTTCAAGTCTCCCCACCGTAAAAGTTCACCTTCAAGGCTGAAGACTGGCCTAAATGGATTAAAGGCTTCAACAGATTCCGCATTGCTTCTGGATTGGAGACCCAAGCAGAAGAGAATTGCAGGAATGTGATCTTTGAGAGAGTGAAGTTTAATCAGCGGTTTCAAGAAACGGGCGAGACGGCCGACCGTTTCATTACGGCGCTGCACTGCCTGGCAGAGCACTGCGGTTACTGGGCTCTACATGATGAGATGGTGGGGGACAGGCTTGTGGTGAGTCTGCGGGACAAACGCCTATCTGAACAGTTGCAAATGGACCCGGAATTGACGCTACAAAAGGCCGTCACCAGAGTCAAACAGAGAGATCAGGTAAAAAAGCAGTGAGAAATGTTAAGAACATTTTTCCATTAATATCATCCATGAGAAACAATTAATGAGCTATAACTCAGGCTGTTAAAAACACATACTTAAAAGAATATCGTCTAATTATCGTTATTTTCAAAATCCCCCAAAATATCGAGATATCATTTTTTGTCCATATCGCACATCCCTATTGCTAGCCTCTCCCAGGACTGCACCTTTCCTCATCCTCTTCAGAAAGTACTTTGGACACCAGTTCAAGCCATAAATGTCTCAGCTGTTTGAGCCACATATCAGCTCACAGCACACTTCATCAGTGACCTGAGAGCCAAACGGGTACAACCTGGTAACAGATCCAGAGCTGTGCTGTTGAGGCAAACATCCACCAGTCTGTGATGAGAGCCTCATGTGTGCTATGTAACAGTTCAGAAGAGCCAAACTGACTGCCATCCAGAATTGCATCATGTCCAGATACAGAGCCTAGTAAGATGTTGTGTTTAATGCCACACTGGCAGCACAACAGGTTAGGGACTGTACAAAAATGACTGGGGTTGGGAGGGGGGCTGAACCACGTTTCATACTCTAAAACTGCAAGACCATTCCCTCAATTTTGATTTGTTGATGCCCTTTTTACCTAAGATCTTAGAAAAAGTTGTCTCTAATAAACAGATTTCTTTCATGAACAGCAATCAAATTTCTAAAAAAAAATTCAATCACCTTTTCGCTCTCAAGACAGCACCGAGACTCTGATCAAAGTCTCCAATGACTTACTGCATGCCATCAACAAAGGCCTGTACTCCATTTTAATCCAATTTTCCCTAATCTCAGCCTTTGACGCAGTGGACCAAATTTGTCTTAATCAACCACCTGAAAAACTTTGTTGGCATCAGTGACATGGCCATGCTTGGAGATGCCTCTCCCTCTTATGTTCCTTTCTTTGGTGGGGTCCCTCAGGTGTCTATACTGGGTCCCCTCCTATTTACCATATGCATGTTACCACTGGAGCTTATCGTGTGTAGACATACAGTGGGATACACTTTCATTGCTATGCAGATAAGCAACTCATGTCCCTTTGAAGCCGAGCACCACCGATGTCTCTTATTTTATGTCCAAAAATTTCCTGCAATTGAATGACTCTGAATCAGAAATATACATAT